ACAGTGGAAAGAACACAGACAGAATAGGAGAAAATATTTACAAATTATATATGTGAACAAATTAACAACTCCTACCATTCAACAACAAAAAGTCAATTAAAAAATGGGCACAAAACTTGAATAGAAATTTATTCAAAGAAGATAACTAAACAGCCAACATGTGCAGGAAAAGGGGCTCAGGGTTATTAGTCATTAGAGAAATGCAAATCAAAAGTGCTTCCTACCCACCAGGGTAGCTGGAGAACATTGACCTAATTGGACTGAATTTGTCTTTTCAGAATACTACACCTAAGAGCAGTATAATACACATTCTTTTCAAGTACATATGGCTTATTCACCAAGACAGGCCAAATGCTCAGCCATCAGACAAAGCTCAATAAATGTCAAAAATTGGAAAAATATAATGTTGTGACTCTCACAGCTGATAAAGGGACTTGGACCCCACTTGATGCAATAATTAAATAGAATTTTATTATACCTGCCCAGGTGGCTGTTGCTGTGGAAAGCAAGCAGCCCTGAATGAAGGGCAGGTGGGCCATTTATACCTTATATTCTGCATAACTCAGCACAAGCAAGCATAAACAGAAGCCAAATATTGCAGTTAGCTCAGGGTGGCGGCAACATTAGATCATGGGTCACACTGGGGGGTTACATAGTTCAAGGTGGGAGTACATAAATTAAGAAAGTTTCCTAAGAACTAGGGACTTCCCACCAAAGGCTTTTTCTGGCACCTATCCCTCCCTGCATACTTCCTTATCTTTAGACCTCTTCTCAGAATTTTACCTCCCCACCCTTATGGGGGGCTGAGACTAAAAGACTTAGGAAAAGTTTCTTTTTCAAGGGTAGGGGGCTCAATTATCACAATAAATTATTTATTCTCTTATCATAATGATTTTAAATTATATATCAACAACCAGAAGATATCCATAAATCTTCAAATACTTTTAAATTAAACAAGGAATTTCTGAATCACCTATGGATCAAAAAGTACTAATAATCTTTTTTCATCTTTTTACCTGTAAGCTCCATAGCGACACCAAAGTAACCTCTGTCTACCAAAGGACAGCAGAGTGCCTTACCTTTCTCTGTTTACTAAAAAACAAGCAGCTAACTCTGCCCTTAATCCAAAACATCCAGGATTTTAAGATTGTCAAATTGTGTTCTCCAAACAGTGATATGTTAACCTCATAACCCCTAGTATCTTAGAATGTGGCCTTATTTGGAAATAGAATCTGTTTAGAGTCTTTAGAGTTTTCTAGATACAAGATCACATCATCAGCAAATAGGGATAGTTTGACATTTTCTTTTCTGGTTTTAATACCCTTTATTTCCTTCTCTTGCCTGATTCCTCTGGCTAAGACTTCTAGTCCTATGTTGAGTGGAAGTGGTAGCAGTGAGTACCTTTGTCTTGTCCCAGTTCTTAGGGGAAATGTTTTCAACCTTTCCCCAGTCAGTATGATGTTGGCTGTGGGTTTGTCATATACAGCTTTTATAATTCTGCGGTATGTTCTTTTTATGCCTAGTTTGTTTGGCATAAAAAAAAACTAGGGATATGAAGGTGCTGGATTTTAAGAAATGCTTTTTCTGTTTCTATTGAGATGATCATATGATCTTTGTCTTTGTTTCTGATTATGTAGCAAATCTCATTTATTTAATTGCATATGTTAAGCCATCCTTGTATCCTTGGGCTGAAACCCTCTTGATCATGGTGAATTTTCATTTTGATGTGCTATTGTATTTTGTTTCCTAGTATTTTATTGAGGATTTTTGCATCTATGTTCATGAGGGATATTATTCTGAAGTTTTGTCCTTTCTTGGTGTACACCTAGGTTTGCTGGTTGTACACAGACAGGAGAGAGCTGGATGAGGAGAGTCACCAGCATTCAAGTGGGAGTAAAACAGGGAAAAACTAGAGGTAACATTATATTTGTTTCCACTAGTGTAATTTAAGTGAAAACCAAACTGCTAGAAAATACTAACTTGGGAAAGGATTTGGAACCATGGTTGGTGAAAGTTTAAATTGCAACAACCCCTTTAGAAAATACTCCAGCAGCATCTACTAAATCCTCATGCCCACACATCTGATGATCCAACAGTTCCGGTCCTGGGTATGTCTATATCCAGCCGAAATATTCACTAAGACAAATATAAATAAGACATGATAATAGATGCATTAAGGATTATAGCCCATAACTACAAACTTCCCATTTCCCATCAACAATATAGTGGGTAAAATAAGCTTCAGTGCATTAATTCAAGAAATACTGCACGTGACTATGAATCTCATGAACAAAATGAAGAATAAAGGAAGCCAGACACAAAAATGTAGCTGTGATACTGAGTTTTGAAAGAGTACAAATGTAAGTGAAACATGAAAAGAAACTATCTGTTCTCCAGACAGGCTATACAATTTAGCATGTCTACCGAAATCCCAGAAGAGACTCTGTTGCTTTCACCCCTCCTCCCACTAGATAATATTAGCAGTTTTCTTTTAGCCATTCTAATATGTATCTACTGGTGTCTTATTGTGATTTTAATTTATATTTCCCTAAGGGCTAATGATGTTAAGCATATTTTTATGTGCTTTTTTGCCATCCCTAATCCACTTTGGGATGTTGAAATCTTTGGTTTGTTGAAAACTTTTGTTCATTAAAAAAAAGCATTGTTTTCTCACTGCTGAGTTTTGAGAGTTCTTTGTAAATACTGAAAGCAAGTTGTTTGCTAAAGGTTATTTATAAGTATTACTTCTCTATTATTGGCTAATGTTTTTCATTCCCTTAATAGGGTCTTTTGCAGAGCAAAACTTTATTTTATTATTATGTAGATATGAGGTCTTAACTGTGTTGCCCAGGCTAGTCTTAGACCTCTGGCCTCAAGTGATCCTCTTACCTCAGTTTTCCCAGTAGCTGGGACTACAGGCACCTGCCACTATGATCACATAATTTTTTTTTTTTTTTTGACAGATGGAGTTCACCACCTTCCCAGGCTTGAATTGATCTGGCTCCAAGCTATATTCCAACCTCAACTCCAACCTGGGATTATAGGTGTGAGCCATCAACCCCACTGCAGAAGAAAACCTAAAATTTTATTTTTCAGACATGGAATCTCACTTTATTGCCCAAGCTGGAGGACAGTGGGATGATCTCAGCTCACTGAAGCCTTGAACTCCTGGGCTGAAGGGATCCTCCCACCTTGGCCTCTTGATTAGCTGGAACTATGTATGTATGCCATTGTGCCCAGATCATTTTTTCTCTATTTTTTTAATTTTTGTAGACAAGGAGTCTCTCTATATTGCCCAGGCTGGTCTTGAGCTCTCAGCTTCAAGTGATCCTCCAGCTGTTGGCTAATTGCTGAGTTTGTATCCTGTAGAATGATAACTGCAGACCACACCATATAGGTGATTGTCCTCAAGATGGCACCTTATACAATGATGTAACCAGCTTTTCCAATTTGTGTTACGTCAGCTATTTTCAGATAATGCAGTATACTGCAGGGACAGAATTGTGAGGTCATGTGCCCATCACTGCAATTCCATTGCTAGACAGTCGATATTTTGTTTGGAGCAAATGATGCAGATACTTAAGTCAGTTAATCCAGCATGCTGTCAGCCCCCAGATAGTGGTGTTGGCTAAAGCCTTATGTACTAGCAGATATGTATTATAATACTAACCAGTGCCTCCTTTCAGTGAAATGTGTCTGATGTGTTGAGCATGCTTCTAAGTGATTGCTTGGCACCCCCTCAAGGTATGACATCACATGAAGGGCTCAGAATTGGTCCTGGGACCAACAACTAGATGTAATATCTAGAGTAGTTGAGAGGCAGTGGCTCCCCACACCAACCCTTGAGAAAATATCCTTTGTACAGGATTTAGGGTAAAACATAAGCAGCTGGTCAGGTCTTAGATGCTCTTTAGAAATTCATGACCACTGTAGGGGTTAGACAAGTACAGTAGAACCTCTGCAAGTTGACCTCCCCCCAAACTGTAACAAATTAGACAAAGGATGAAGGTGGTCAACAGAAGAGACTAGGCCCACTGTTCCACTGATATGTCAAAGTGGTGCATGTTCGTCTATGCAAATTTGGTTGACATAAAGGGTGGTCAGTGTAGGAAGGTGGTCAGCTGTAGAGGTCTGCTGTATCTTTATGAGGGGTTTTCTGTGCTGCAGGCATTGTTGAAAGAAATTGCTGCAGAACATCCTGACATACAGGAGTCATCCATTGTTCATTGCAGTGGTTTTTCTTCAAGATGGCATCACTCTTGTTATGTAACTGGCTGTTATGCTGAAATTATGCTACTAAGGTCAGAATAATAAAAAATTATGTAAATGGACCTGAAAAGCCTTATTTTTTTGTTATTTAATTTATTATTTAGTTTCTTATTTTTATTATGATTCTTATTTGTTCTCAAATCTGTCACTCTTTCTTCTTTTTATACAAATTTTTTGGCCAGGCTCCATGGCTCATGGCTGTAATCCTGGGATTCTGGAGGTTGAGTAAGTAGTATTACTTGAGTCCCGACATTGGAGATGATTCTAAGCAAGAGTGAGACCTGGTCTCTACAAAAAAAGTAAAATAATTATGTGAGCATAGAGGTGCATGCCTATAGTGCCAGCTACTCAGGAGACTGAGGCAGGAGAATTTCTTAAGCCTAGGATTTTTGAGGTTTCTGTGATCTATGATAACATTATTACACTCCAGTCCTAGTGACAGAGCAAAATTTTGTCTAAGGAAGATATTACATTTTGGACACACTTTTGGATAATACTTATAATTTTTCTGCAGCATTTTATATGTTTCAAAAGATAAAAACATTGGGCAGCACCTGTGGCTCAAAGGAGTAAGGCGCTGGCCCCATATGCCAGAGGTGATGGGTTCAAACCCAGTCCTGGCCAAAAACTACAAAAAAAATATATAAACATTTAAAATGGTCTTGGATGCCATGACATGTGTTTTTTAACAAGGAAGTCATCAAAAATACAAAGATTCCTTCATTCAAGACTCCAGGATGAAATAATAGTTTTTATGCAATGACCCCCAGGCACACACCCATACAGGGACAGGAGGAGAAGAAATATCACTATCAGTATAAGGTCCAGAACTATTTTAGACATTATTCCCAGGGGAACAGCTCCTGAGGAAGGTCTGCCATCTTCTCCTGGAATAGTTTATCAAAGGCTTCAGCTTGGGCCACCGTGAAGTGATTTTTCCAGTCCCCAGTTACTCCTGGAAAACAGGAAACAGACACTCAAATCAGGTGGTGGGGTCAGACCCCAACATGTGTCCCCCTTGGTCTGTTCCTAACTGTCGACCATCATGGATGTAAACCACTAGTCAACAGAATGACCAGGGGTCCACTGGTGGGCCAGCATCAACTCTAAGTCCAAAATCTCATGTGAACATCACCTAAGTCTCCCAAAGGTATGAGTGAGATTTGAGGTATGATTCCTTCTGAAGCAAAATTTCTCTCTAGCTACTAACCTATGAAACCAGACATTGTTACCTGCTTTCAAAATGTAATTATGGGACAGGAGTAGGATAGATGTACACATTCCAAAAGAGTGATTTGAAATAAAAAGGAGGTCATTGATCCCCAGCAATCCAAAACCCAGGGTCAATTCCACTAAATGCTAGTGCTGAAGACTGACCTTCTTGGTCTCTGTCCTTGTGGATAACTGGGGCAGCAGAGGCCCTATCTCACTCAACGTCCTTTGATGATGTAGAATCATTTAATTCTTTTCATACCAGATACATTTGAAGAGTAGTATTTTAGAAAAATGGAATCTTGAATTCCATGCAACATGTATTTCCATTTATCTTGAGCCCAAGGGGAAGGATATGGGTGAGCTTTAATCACAGGGGCCCTTACAATGTCTGATAGCTAAGTCTCTCCTCTCTCCCTTTTCCACATGAGTTAATCCTTCATTTACATTTTTGTGAAGGATAGCTTTCTTCCTTAACTGCCCAGTGGGGTAGCCCTCATATGACAACTCCAATTCCATCCTACTTCCCCAGGTCAATCACAGCTTGCTCCAACAAAGTCTTCTCAGTTAGGTTTAGTCGCCACCCAATTTATAACTGCAAGTCCCCATCCTGCTGTATTTTACTTCAGAACACTTCCCTGTAGGGTGGGTTCTATGTGTTTCCCTTTTGTGGCTGAGCATATTACATACATTTTAGAAAGTTGTACCTTTGTATTTCATTGCAAAAGGTTCATTGCCTGGCTGGAATAGATAATTAACCTGATAACTATAGAATGGACACTCCAGGTCCAATTCAGAGGACAGAGAAACTAAATGATTTCTCATTACTCAGGCAACCATCCCAGGATGGATCAACTTTGTCCAAGTGCCTGAAGTTCACATCACCACCATGATAAGATACCCCCTGATAATGTTACAGGAGAAATGCTCTGTGGGAGGAGCAATCGCAGTTAATACACTCAAACATTCCTTCATCTCAACTGTTAGTCCCTGTTGTAAGCAAAAAAAAAAAATATATATATATATATATTCCTCCATGTATTCTGAGACATGTTAAAACCAAGTCATTTTCTTTTACCTTTTCTCATAAGTGGGTTTTTGTGAACTAAATAGTGAGATTTCATCATGGAGAAATTGGACATCTTATTTTCCTTCATGGCCTGAAAGGAGCTATTTTTGAGGATTAGGCTGAGTTCTTCTGGCTCTACCTTCTTACCCAGGAATTGACAAATCTTCTCTATATTTCCTTCTGTGTCCTAAAAAAAGGAAAAACAAGGGAGAGGATATGAGAAAGGCAACAGAGAAACTAGGATGAGAAGCAGGATGAGGATGAGAAGGGGGAAGAAGAAGAGAGAAACAGGACACAGAAGGGAGAAGTGATGGAGTTGGATGCAACCAGGAGAAAGCAGAGAAACGGGTAAAGAAGAGGGAGCAGGAAGTGTGTGAAAGATGCCAGGATCCTGATGGATTTCTCATAGGGTTGAGTTAGGAGAACTTAGCAGTAAAAGACAGGGCCTAGGGTTTCTGGGACTTTGAGAAGGGGTCCTAGACAATGATTAAATAAGCAGAAATTCAGTGAGAACTTAACAAAGATTTAAAGAATTGATGTGTAATCCTGGCTGGGCCATCCAACAATACCGTTTCTCATAACTCCTATTTGAATATTACATAGTCTTACAAGATCTTCTCATGTATTATATCAATAATTAGAACTTGGTACAGGATCCTAGAGATTATGGTTAAAAAAATAGCTTTTTATACCACAAGGATTTTTTCCCTGAATGAAAGACTTTTCTCTTAGAACTAAAATGCTTCAAAATTTTTCTCTATTGCACAAGCCCCGGTTGTTCTCTAACAAGAGGACACAACTGTAGAAGTAGTTGAAATTAAAGTTCAGTGTGTGAGTTAAAAGGAAAATTACAAGAAGGTATGGCACCCTGGACCTGAGGGAGTTAAACGTGTTAAGAAAGGGGAGAGGGAGAGAAGGGGAGGAGAGAGGATGGGTGGAGGGAGGATGATTGGTGGGACCATGCCTATGGTTGATCTTATAATGGTACATATGAATCTTTCTAAACGTAGAATATAAATGTCTTAACACAATAACTAAAAAATGATATGAAGGCTATGTTAACCAGTTTGGTGAAAATATTCAAATTGTATATAAAAACAGCACACTGTACCCCATGACAGTATTAATGTACACAGCTATGATTTAATAAAAGAAAGAAAGAAAGAAAGAAAATAAAGCCTTCCTGATCACCATGATTCATGCTGAGGCTTTTGAGGGTTGGACAGAGGTGGGCAGAGGAAGGTGATGGGAGGTAATGTTTCTCAGGTGGAAACAACAGCCAGTGTTTATGTCACTTTCTCTTTCTCCAAGATACCACTAATAAGTCAGGTTGTTTCTACAATGGTCTGCTTACCCTCACTGGTGCTAAGCATCACCTAACAGCTTCTCCTGCCTCTCAGCAGCCCCTCCAGTCCTTGGCATCTCAGCACATTCACACAGGTTGATTTCATGCCTTCATTTCTCTTCTTACCAGTGAGGCTGAGATGTTAGACAGTTGGATACATCTCTGGAACTGAACTGTTTCTACACAGTTCTGTCTCTTCCCCAGGGCTCTCTCATCACTGGGTTATCAGTGCTGCCCAGAAATGTTTTTACACTTGCCAGTGGGAACATAAGCCATGAGTCCTCTGCCTGAATGCATGGAATAACCCGTTAGATGTTAGAAGAATAAGTGAAAAAAGCATGAATGATGTGAAAAGGCAAACAGAAGTAGGGCAACAAAGACCAGGGAGCTGATCCCATTCTTAATGACTCTTCTTGAGACTAAATCTTGACAGAGAAGGTGGAATGAAGACACAGAGAAATGGAGGGATGTCAGAGGAAGTGAAGGTGGTGGTGAGAGGGTGTACACCAACTAATAAAATGATTGTTACCTGTTTCAGCTCTTCATAACTCAAGAGCAGGAAGTTCTCCCTCTCTCTCATGGACATCCAACCACGAACATGGTCAAACCATGACCCATATGGCACTGCATGGGGGGAGGCAGAGAGAGAGAGACAGGTTAATTCCATCTATTAGGTTCACTCCTCATCAGCTTTATTAGGATGTAACTGACAAATACAATTTGTATACATTTACAGTGTACAATAGAAAGTTTTGATTTATGTACCCATTGTGCAGTGATAAAATGGAACTCATTATTATATTCATCATCTCACATAATTGCTATTTTTCGATAGTGAGAACATTTAAGACCTATTCACTCATCAATTTTCATGTACAATACAATATTAATAAGTATAGTCACCATGCTGTATTAGTGCTCTCTGGAAATTATTCATCTTGTCTAAGTGAAACTTTGTACCCTTTGACCATTGTCTCCCTACTACTGCTGCCCCACATATGCATATGTCTATATATTTGTATATGTATAATGTATTTCAGTATATACAAAGAGCCATGATATACATAAAGAGCTCTGTGAGCCCATTTCTTGGCTTTAACCATTATTGGTGGGTTTTTATTATTTTTTTTTTATAGCAAGAGGGTTTTATTATTTGGCACAAGTAAGGAGCACATAAGAGTACTTCCCAAAGCAGCGTGTCCTGATGTATTATTTTCAGGTAACTTATTCATCTGGTTCCCCTTTCTCTCCAACTGTTTTATTTTAGAAAACCCCTCAGACATCACAATATTTCATTGTTACAAACTTCAATGTATCTTTCCAGACTAAAATGTCACTGTCAACTACATTATCACATAACCCCCCCCCAAAAAAATACTTCTTTACTATCTTGCCTCTTTCTTTGATAAAGATTACCAGATATTTAAAATTTTTAGAGTGTTCCCCAGTAATTTCTGTTGGGTTTGTGTTTTCTGGCTGTGTTAGAGATGGAGTTTCAGATGTAAAAGCTCTGATTTCAGTCCCTTCATGGTTGCAGTTCTATCCATGCTTTCTACTTCTTAATGGGACAATTTGGGTAATTCGGACAAGTCCAGAAAATAGATTATTAGTTAATAAAAATTTTCGTTCTTTGTTTTCAACTTAATCTATGCTTATCCATCAATATCTCCTTATCCATCAATATCTGTCCTATTTATCAATATGTATTTTCATTACATATATAATAGTGTTTCATAAATCTCATAATTATTATAATAAATAATTTAATATATAACAAGGCACATGAAATATATACTCTTGTCTGTAATATATATATAATATGTATATATAATTTATAAAGAAGAGATTTCAGCATTCCCATATCATTGTAGCACTAGTCCCAATAGCTAAGATATGGATTCCTCTAAATGTCCATTAACAAATGAATGGAAAAGAAAATGTATATGTATGTATGTTTGTGTGTGTGTGTATGTATATAGTTGTCCCTTGATACCTGCATAGAAATACTCAACATTCTTAATCCACCTCTCCATAGTTCATGTCTTTGATATCATAATTTGGATCTTTTTATATTGCATGTCCTGTAACAAATTATCATAGCTATTATTTTTTAATAGTTTGTCTTATAATCATTATACTAAAGACAGAAGTGATTCACCCACCACCATTAAGAAAAGGTTTGAATTGGAGTATGTATTTACGTTTACTAGTGAGTTTTACCCTTTTATACCTTCTTGTGGCAGTAGTTAGTATACTTTTCTTCCAGATGAAAGAATTCTCTTCATTATCTTTTTCTTTTTCTTTATTTCTTTTTCTTTTATGGATACAGAGTCTTCCTCTGTCACCTGAGCTGGGGTTCAGTGGTGTCATCCTAACTAACTGCAACACCAATCTCCTGGGCTCAAGTGATTCTCTGCCTCAGCCTCCCAAGTAGCTAGGACTAAAGGTACACAACACCACGCCCAGAGAATTTTTTAAAGTTTGGGTACAGTCAGAATCTTACTCTGCCTCAGGGTGGTTCCAACTTCTGGCCTCACGCAATCAGTCTCTGAGATTTCTACAATTACAAGCATGAGCTACCACAGTTGCTATTTCTTTAAGACAGGTTTATTGGTGATGAACTTCCTCAGCTTTTCTTTTTTTTCTTTTTTTTTTTTTGGTCTGGGAAAGTCTTAACCTCTTCTTCATTTCTGACAGGTAGACTTGCTACATAAAGTGTTCTTGGTGGACATTTTGTTTTCTGTCAGCACTTTGAATATACAAGTATCATCCTACTCTCTCTTTGCTCATAAAGTTTTTGCTCAGAAGTCTGCTGCTAGCTTCATTGGAACACCCTTACGTATAACATAGTTCTTTTCTCAAGTTGATTTCAGGATATGAAATGATTTCTCCAATATGTTGCATGTCCAAAGTTAATAATGAAATGGGCTCACAGACCATACCTGAGAGTCTTCCCAGAATATCTGGAAGGGCTGACTGATGAAGGACTTCTAGTCTGCAAGACACGGATATGGCCCTGTATCTTCAAATGCACAGACACCAATGCACTGCCACAAAGATTTTGGCAGTTTGAGTGTAATATGTCTTGGTTTAATCTTATTTGGATTGAATCTTATTGTTTACATTTTAACTTTATAAACTTGGGTGTTTATATCTTTCCCCAGACTGGGAAAGTTTTCTGCTTTTACTTTAGTAAGTTTTATTACCCTTTGCTTCTTCCTTCTTTTGATTAACTTGTACTATTAGAATATTCCCTTTTGAGGCTGCCCCATAAGTTCTGTAAGTTTTTGTCATTTCTTTTCATTCTTTTTCCCTGTTTTCCTTTGACTGCATATTTACAACTGACTTGCCTTGGAATTCATAGATTCTTTCTTCTGCTTGATGATTTTTGCTGTTGATGGTCTCAATTACATTTTTATTTTTCCATTTCATTCTCACCTCCAAAATTTCTTTTTTTAAAAAAAATAATTTCAGCTTTTCTATTAAATATCATAGTTTGGTCATTAATTGTTTTCTTGTTTTTGTTGAGTTTTTTGTGCATCTTGTTGAAATTCACTAAGCTTTCTTAAAGCAATGATTTCGAATTCTTTGTCAGGCAATGCATCTACCTGCACTTGTTTATGGTTGATTTATTCCTTGGTGATGTCATATTTCCTGATTATTCTTATTCCTTATGGCAGTGCATTGGTGTCTGTGCATTTGAAGATACAGGGCCATATTGGTGTCTAGCAGACTAGCTTTGTTTGGGAAAGTCCTTTACCAGTCAGCCCTTCTAGATATTCTGGGAAGATTCTCTAGTATACTCTGTGAGCCAATTACATTATTAACTTTGACATGCAACATATTGGAGAAAGCATGGGAATGAAAAAGTAATGGCCTTCAGTGACTCCTGCAGATAATAATTATGCATCATTCCTTTTATTTTCCTTTTGGCTATACCTAGCTTCATGGTGCCCATAGTCTGCCTTGAGAGGTGAACCACACAGGCCCTGGAAGCATGCTTGGAGTCTTTTGTATGACAGAGTCCATGGCTCAAGGTTCCCATAGCATAGGTGATGAGAAAGTTGAAAGTCCTATAGACTTGTCCCTACAGACTCCTTATTTTGTTAGAAGAGGACATGCATTCACTTCCGCTTCTAGAGCAGGGCATCTCTGAGGCTTTGTTATCATGTGTGATCCAAAGCTCTGCTCTAAGGCTCACAGTCCAGAGCAGAAACCCATGTTGCCTAGTCTAAGGACAACATTTCCTGGAAGTTAAATTCCACAGATTTATCTATACAGGGCAAAGGGATTGGATTACTCCTCTCTGTGGCTACAGAAAACTCAGAATATTCATGATGATGAACATTATAATAACAACAAAGACTTCAATGTTGGTGGTTCCTGATTACATAAGAAAGAAAGAAAGAGGCCTGTGTATGCGTTTTAAAGCACAAATAGGCACAATGCCAGTATAGTGGTGAAGGTTACAGGATGTGTCTTCATCACTCACCATTGATGGGACTTAACAAGGTTCCTGGTGACTGAAGTATAATCTAGACTTCTTTATATACCAAATAGCAAGATCAAATATAACATTGAGGAGGGGAACATTCTCTTCATGTTTGGGCTCCCATCATGTTGTTTTCCTATTAATTTTTCTGTGAAAGAGTTATCTGAAGCAAAGTGGATACATGACTCCAGATTTCAGATAGGATCAATAGCAAATATGACTGCCAGGCTTTGTAGATTGGACTTAATGCTGAGGGCAAACAATCTGGGGATGCTGGTAATGAGAAAATGAACTTTCCAATGTATAATAGGTAACTGCAATATAACCTAGAAGGGGTACACACCAATGATGCCTTGAATCTTCATCTAGGTGAAAAGTAACAGTGACTCAGGCTAATAAATTGTCAATACAGGCAGTAGTAAGTGGTTCTTAATTATCTAAAAAAGTGTGTTGAATGTTTAACATTTGGTTAAAAATCATTCTAGGCCCTGGGGCCCAAAATGAACCTCTTAAGTTTGTATTTTGGTGTTGAGGTGCCCACATTAAACAAATAAATATATATGTAACTGTTGGTGATGAGTATTACTAAGGAAAAGAAAAGGTTCAAGTAATGGAAAGGTTTTTGTTTTACATAATGTTGCAATTCTAGGGTTTCCTATATACAACAACATTTTATCAGACTCTAGAATGAAGTTATTAATCAAGGCAGTGGGATTTGATTACTAATTAGGTAAGGTAAGTGGTGAGGGGCGGCAGAGTCAGATGGGAAAAGGAAGACTCATGTGAAATGTTAGAATCATACCAATCCTTAGGTGAAGGGAGGCTGTATCTACTTATCTGGTGAAATAAATGCAGTAGAAGCAGTTTGGGGAGTGAGCAGAGATGCCCTCAATCTTGCACAGGTTAAATTCCAGGCATCTACAGCTCTCTCCAGGCTGCTAGAACTCAGGAGACAGATCACAGTGGAGAAAGGGGACTCGGCATGCAGTTTTGAGGAAAATGGCCAAATTACACGTGCTTGAGAAAGCCCAGGGATTCTGCATAACTAAAAATATAGAGATTCCAGAGTCATGCAAACCTTTCTGAGACTGATAGAAACAGAAGATTAAGGGAGTTTTGAAAAGAAGTATTTTCTGAAAAACACTGGTAGATGGTTAGAAGGTCAGGATTGCATGGTCTGGGAAGCCAATGTAAAGCTGACTTTGAGAAAGCCACAAATTAGGACAGTGGAGAAGAATATAGTTTTCTGTGTTAGATCAGGGAATATTAGAGTCAGCAAATAGAGTGGATGGTTTATCAGGGACAAGCTGAGGGGCTGACTAGAGCCCAGCTACCATGTAGAAGAACAGGGGGATTTTGCAGATTTGGGTTCCAGCAGTGACAGAGCCTTGTAGCCCTGAGCTGGTGAGATGTAGATACAAGGTGGGTGTCAGGTAAGATCTGAGAATGGACTCTGTGCTCTCCCCTAGGGTCCATATTTTACAGCACACTCACCAGTTCCTTCCATGAACCATTCAAGATACTGTTCCACTGACTTGGGTTTCTTAGCCAAATTCACTGAATTCCAGAAGAAATAGCCAGATACAATAACGTCCTTGGGATTTCTTATGAGATAAATCACCTTAAAGGGAATTAGTAAGAGAACTAAAAATCAATACATACATTTCCCACTTTAAAAAAAATCTTCATAATAATGGAGAAATAGCCAATTCTCAGAAAATGCTTTTGATAAACATTATTTAGTGTATTAAATAATCAAATATAAAATTTAATGTCCTTATGAAGTAGTCATTGTTCCCAGAATATGACAATGGAAGAGGAAAGTATTATCCCTCCCCTCTGGGGTATATTAGTGTACTCTCAATGGAAGGAAACTTGAGAGTTTTAAAATGTGAGTGGTATTATATTTCTGTAGACAGTTTAAAGGTCAGTAACAGGAGAACAGAACAATATACATTATGGTGTGTTCATAGATATATAGAAATATATATCTATATGTACACCCCAAGATCATGAATGAAACTCACAGATACCACATTGACTGAAAGAAGCCAGGCATCCAATAGTTCATTCAGCATGACTCTATTTATATGAAGTTCAAGAACAAGCAAAACTAAGCTCTGGTTCTAAGTCAGTGTGGTATTTACCTGTGTGTGGGCTCTGTTGGGAAGGGACATGAGGAAATGAAACGATTCTAAATTAGGACCTAGATGAAGTTTACCCAGTATGTATATATGTAAATACTCATCAAGCTAATAGTTAAGATTACTGCGTGTGTGCGTGCACACACACACGCACACATGGAAGGTTACTTGGCATTTGAACATATAAATTTTCCTTTGAATTCTGCGCCCACTTTCTCTGTGACATTATTCTAGTCTTCATCTCTCTCTAGTCATCAGTTTCCCACACAGGGATTTTCCAAACAATATAAGACACATATAAATAGGCATGTTGTAACAAATTCATTGTGCTGTTGCACAAGGTAAAGTTTCTAAGTGAGGAGAACATGATGCTAAGTTTCTCAATTTCATTTCAGCAAAAAACATTTTAAAAATTCACAAATTAATCAATACCTTCCAGGCAAGAGTGTTTCTCTCTCCTTTTTTTTTTTTTTTTTTTTAAGCAGTTTTTGGCCAGGGCTGGGTTTGAACCCACCACCTCCAGCATATGGGGCCGGTGCCCTACTTCTTTGAGCCACAGGCACCACCCTCTCTCCTTCTTTCCTCCCTCCCTTTTTTCCTTCCTTCCTTCCTTCCTTTTTTCCTTCCTTCCTTCTTCCTTCCTTCCTTCCTTTCTTCCTTCCTCTTTTCCTTCCTTCCTTCCCTTCTTCCTTCTCTTTCTTTTCTTTATTTTTCTTTTTTAAAATGTTATTTAGCAAAGCATGTTTCTAAAAATGGATGTATTTTAGATCCTGAATAATGACTATCCCTTCTGGTGATTTCTGTCCAGCCACTGGGGAGATCCGTGTGGCTGCTCATCTCCATAGACAGCTACACACAGTAAGACACAGAGGTTGGAAAAACTAGTCATCACACCAGAGCAATTGCCCTGGATTTCAGCATTGATTTACAAATGTGCTGGTTCTCATGTGAACAATTGCATTTCTGCTCAGTGGCAAGAGACACTTACTGAATTAAGATTGGCTCACTATTTATTTTAGAAGAACAAATTGAGTTTGAGAACTATTCACCCTACAAAAAGTGCTACGTAACTTTATTCTGCATATTTCTATGGTCACCTTTGAAGTACTCCCCTTGGGAGGCTCCCCCTTGGGAGGCTTTGAACTGATGCCAGTGCCCAGTCCACACTTCAAACGCATTTGGATCTTTTCTTTTATGGAAAGAACATCCGAGTACTATCATATTACCTGTGATGCCCTAAATGCCATCAAAATGTCTTTCTTTCAATATTTCCTTTGTCTTCAGGTAAAAAGCCAATGGGGGCCAGATATCAAGTGAGTAGAAGTGGTGTCTCAGTACAGTTATTTGTTTAAATTTTTACTGGCTAAAAATGCTCTCATTAGCAATGCCCTGTGAGCTGCTACATTGTTTTAATATAAGAGTCATGTGTTGTGGAGCAAGATTTTGAGTTCAAATTTTGTTGAAACTTAAAAAATTAAAAGATAATGAAATGTCCTATTTCTCTATTGACATTTACTTTGTCTGCAATGCTTCCCAGTGCTAGCTAATGATTTTCACTCACAGTTCCACAAATTTTTACAACGTCTTCATCAGTTCTGTTTAATACTGGCCACCTTGGTCTCTCTTCATTTGTGATGATTTCTCTTTCCTTAGAAAACTACTTAATCACTGTGTATACTGTCATGTTCTTCATAGTATTATCCCCATTCTCTTGGACTAACATTTCTCTGCCCCAACTTTCACTTTTGTGAAATTTAACAAGAAATGTAACGTTTATTTGTTGCTGTTATTCAAACTCTGACATTTTCATGATGGCCCACAAAAACATGCAACAACAAAAATTAATGCCACTCAGCAAGACACTGCCACAAATGAACACAAAAACAGCTGTGAGACACTGATATACCAAGGTTATGAATCCTTATAAAGTTATTGGTACAGTGATGCCAAGGGCATGATGGGAAGTTCATGACATTATTGTCAGACCCTTACATATGATGCAGTTATAAATTTTAGCAAGTCTTAAAATATGGTTTTCTAAGATTCTGGAATTATCATGTAACTTTATCCTGAATTGTATCTGGCTGGCACGGTGTGTGGAATGCTTCCTACCCTTGCACTCAACTATGATCCCTGGGATAGCCACACTGGCATCACCTAATGCAGAATCTCAGGTCTCATCCAGACCTACTGAATGACCATGCATTTCAACAAGGTCTCCAGGTGATTACAGGCACATTAACATTCGAAAGGCATTGGTCATACATGTCCTGACCATTATGCACTGACCTTGGCCTTGGAACTGGAGAAAGACTTGGGGAAGAGATGGATGGGGAGATGGGAGGTGAGCAAGCGTGGGCCCTCCTTCTTAGTCGCTATTGCAAACCCATTCTCAGCCTCTATCCAGGGTGAGCGTTCCCAGTTGGGCACAGACTGGACCCACTTGGTATCCCCCTTGGAATGAATCAGGCAGAGAATCTCAATCAACCAGTTTGTTCCTGGATTAAGAAGGAAAAAAGGATGGTCACTCATTTCAATCTGATTCTAAAAACAAATTATGGTAAAATGCACAAACATAAAATGTACCATTTTTAAATATGCAGTTTAAGAGTGTTACATATGTTCCTGTTGTTGCACAATCTCCATAAATTTTTAATCTTGCAAAACTGGAACTACGTACTTAACAACAACTTCTGATTTCCCCCTCCCTCAGCCACTAGCAACCACTTTTGTACTTGCCCTTCTGTGAACCTAACTACTCTAGGACACCTTGTGTGAGTGGAACCACGCAGTGTGTACATTTCTGTGACTGACTCACTTAATTTAGTGCAATGTGCACAAGGCTTATCCGTGCTCTAGCATGTATCAGCATTTGCTTCCTTTTGAAGGATGAATCCTATTCCATTGTATCAATGTCACCGTTTGTTTATCTCTCATGTGTCAAAGGGTGTTTGGGTTGCTACCACCTTTTGGCCATTTGCTGAAGTCTTTGAATAAGTTCCATTGTTCTTGACTTTTCAGGGCTCCCCTGTCACTTGCAGTGCCTTTTGCCTCAATCTGCCCTATTTGCAGACTCTCACCCTCCAGCCCCACTCCCATAGAAATAGGATCTACATATTCCATTCCCTCATATTTGTCAGGCCCTTTATAATTCCTCATCATCAGCCATAATGATGCTTCTACAGGAAAATATCCTTCTTCACTAAGTAATCTCCCTTTCATTCTTTCCATTTCAATTTGACTCTGTTTCTTCTATACGGACTTCAGGGGTCATCCTTCTCCCTGCTGATGCATACACCTTAATAAGCTGTAGAATTCACTCCTCCGGGGTCTCCTAATATTGTAGATTATCCCCTCCGAGCACTCATCTTACTGTGTAGTTCACTGACTGAATCCTTTTCTCTGTATGTACAGGATACTAGACATTACTTCACCTCCCCTACCCCCAAACCATTGCACATTGTCTAGCATGTAGAAAGAGCTCCAATCAGGACCTCAGGAGGTGGCTCATTCCTGTCATCATAGGCAGAAGTGTGAGGATGGCTTTTGAATCCAGGGGTTCAAGATCAGCCAGAGAAATATACCAAGAATTATATACATAACAGAATTTTAAAAAGTAACCTAGACTGATGGCTCATGCCTATGGTTCCAGCTACTTGGGAGGATTGTTTGAGCCCAAGAGTTTGAGTGAGGTACGATTGGGCCACTGCACTGGCGTTGAACCACAGAGTGAAACCCTGTCCCACAGATGAAAAAAAATGAGAGAGAGGGAAGGAAAAAAGGAAAGAAAGAAGGAAATAGGGAGGGAGGGAAGAGAAGGAGGGAAGGAGGGAGGATGGAAGGAAGGAAGGAAGGAAGGAAGGAAGGAAGGAAGGAAGGAAGGAAGGAAGGAAGGAAGGAAAAGAAAGGAAGGAAGGGAGCTCTCCAACCATCTACTGAATCAATGAGGAACACAACCACAGCCTTTCTCAGTTTAGGATTCTGTTTCTTACCTGATTTGGGGAACGTGATTATTAGTACATCTTCATCCTTTATCACAAACTCTTCGCGTGCTTTCCTGAGGATTTCAGGTTTGTAAAAACCCCTTGGGAAAGGTATCCCTTCATACCATAAATTGTCCTCTGCCATGATGATCAGCTCCTTGGGTTCAATTATCAGGGTTTCAGCAGCAGCTGCTGTTGGAAGCTGTGGGGCCTGCTGGCAGATTAGGTTTTATAGTTAAAAGATAAGGTTCACTAATCTCTGCCCAGTTGCTAGAATGTTTGCTGGTTGAGTCAGAGAATAGGTATTGTGACCAATAGTCAAACCTTTAATGATATTGAGCAATTGTGAACTTAAGGAAACATTTTGGAGGTAGTGTGAGTTTGAGTTCACATGAGTAAACAGGAAATTTGGTGACAAAAAAAGCAAGGATATAGAAATGTGTGCACATTTTAAAATATTTCCAATAAGCTTTATTTTTACAAATAAGCATTTATAGAGAAATTGCAAAGAGAATACAGAGTGTTTCCATAGTTCATACATCATACAGATTTCCTGCACTTTTACCTAATGTGCCTTTTTTCCTCCAAAAATCCCATCCAGGACATCAGATTACACACAATCATCAAGTCTCTTTTGGTTCCTTTTGGCTGTGACTGTTTCTCAGACTATCTTTGTTTTTGATGTCCTTGACAATTTTGAGGAGTACTGGTCAGTTATTTTGTAGAATGTTCCTCCAGTGGAATTCCTTGGAGGATTTCCTCATAATTAAACTGGGTTCATGGCTTTTGGAGAGAAAGGTCACAGAATCCAATGCTGTTATCATCACATAATAATCCAGGGTACTTACTATCAACAGGGCCTAGCACTGATGATGTTAACCTTGGTCATCTTAAGTCAGGCGTTTCAGATTTCTCCACTGTAATATTCCTTTTCCCCTCCTCCCTTTCTCTGTGGGCCTGTCTTAAACATCAATTCCAGACTTGAATATAGTCATAAGATCACATGATATAAACCCCAATCAGAAACATTGGGCAAAATACTAAGCCTGTCCTTTTAAATTGTCACATGGTTATGAAAACAAGGAAACGGAGCACAAGTCTCAGACTGAAGGAACATGAAGCTAAGTACTGTGTGAGTCCTGGACCACACATGCACACCATGCTGTAATTATATCAATGGAACAATTGCCCAAATCTGACCATGTAACATGGATTTAGATAATATTGAATAACATTGTATCACAGCCAGGTTTCCTGATTTCTGTAATTTTACTGTAGTCACATAGCATGTGTCCTTGCTCTTAGAAAACACACACTGAAATTTTGAGATATTATTGAGAATAATTGGCAGAGTACAGTGGTTCACATGTATGATCCTAGCACTGTAGGAGGTCAAGGTGGGATGATCACTTGAGTTGAGAAGCTCAAGACCAGCCTGAGTAACAGTGAGACCTCATTCCTGTGAAAAATAGAAAATTCACCTGGCACATTGGTGTGTACCTAGGGTTCCAGACTCTCAAGAGGCTGAAGCAGGAGGATCACCTGAGCCCTAGAGTCTGAGGTTGCTGTGAGCTATGATGACACCACTCCATTCTTCCCTGGGGGAAGTGAGACTCTGTATCAAAACAAAAACAAACAAACAAACAAAAATCTTCTTCAACAACTGAGGCACTTAACAACTGCATATTTATATGCAGAAGAATGAAGCTGGGGGCTTATCCTACAATGTATGCAATAATTAAAAATGGATCAAATACCTCAAATATGGTAAAAGTCCTAGAATACAAATTATGGGTAAATGTCCATGACCTTTGGTTTGGCAGTGGTTTCTTTGCTATGATATCAGTAAACAAGACTTAGGGGAAAAATAGAAGACTTAGAGTATGCTGAAGAGAAAAACTTCTGTGTCTCAAGGAACACTACCAAGACAGTGAATAGAAAATCTAAAGAATGAGGGAAAATATTTACAAATCATATACGTGAACAAATTAACAACTCCTACAACTCAACAATAAAAAGTCAATTAAAAAATGGGCCCAAAACTTGAGTAGAAATTTCTTCAAAGGAGATAAGCAAACAGCCAACATGTGCAGGAAAAGAGGCTCAGGGTTATTAGTCATTAGAGAAATGCAAATCAAAAGTACCCACCAGGGTAACTGGAGAACATTGACCCAAGCAATTGGACTAAATTTGTCTTTTCAGAATACTACACCTAAGAGCAATATAATACACTTTCTTTTCAAGTACACATGGCTTATTCACCAAGACAGGGCAAATGGTCAGCCATCATACAAAATGGCTATATGGAAAGAACATAAATTATTAATGGTATTAAATTATAAATTAACAACCAGAAGATATACATAAATCTTCAAATACTTTTAAATTAAACAAGAAATATCTAAATAAACCATGGGTCAAAAAGTACTAATAAGCCTTCTCCATCTTTTTAATTGTAAGCTCATCTGTGACATCAAAGTAGTGCCTTGCCTTTTCTCTCTTGTTTGTTTACTGAAAAACAAGTGGCTAACTGCCTTTAAATCCAAAAGATTGGGGCTTTTAAAACTGCCATATTGTGTCCTCCAACGAATGATATGTTGCAGTCCTAACCCTTAGTATCTTATAATGTGGCCTTATTTGGAAATTACATCTGTTTAGAGTCTTTAAAGATTTTTAGATACAAGATCACATATTAGCAAACAGAGTTTGACCTCCTTTTCTTCTGATTTGTATACTTGTTATTTCCGTCTCTCACCAGATTGCTCTTGCTAAGACTTCTGGTACCATGTTGAGTAGAAGTGATGATAGTGGGCACCTTTGTCTTCTCCCAGTTCTTAGAGGAAATGTTTTCAACTTTTCCCCAGTCAGTATAATGTTGGATGTAGATTTGTCATATATGGCTGAGGCATATTCTTTTTATGCCTACTTTGTTTGGAGTTTTCTTATGAAAGGGTGCTGGATTTTAAGGAATATTTTTTTGTTCTTGTTGAGATGATCATGTGGTCTTTGTTTTTGCTTCTGTTTATGTGGTGAATCCCATTTATTCATTTGTATATGTTAAGCCATCCTTGTATCCTTGGGCTGAAACCCTCTTGATCATGGTGAATTATCATTTTAATGTGCTGTTGTACATGTTTGCTAGTATTTGCATCTATGTTCATCAGGGATATTAGTCTGCAGTTTTCTTTGTTTGCTGTGTTCTTTCCTGGTGTGCACCTGGGCTTGCTGGTTGCACACAGGGGAGAGCTGGGTGGGATGAGGAGAGTTACCCAACATTCAAGTGGGAGTAAAAGAGGGAAAAACTAGAGGTAACATTATTTGTGTTTCCATTAGTGTAATTTAAGTGAAAATCAAACTGCTAGAAAATACTAACTTGGCCAAGGTTTGGAACCATGGCTGCTGAAAGTTTAAATGGGAACAACCCCTTTGGAAAATACTCCAGCAGCATCTACTAAATCCTCATGTCCACACATCTGATGATCCAACAGTTCTCATCCTGGGTGTATCTACATCCAACAGAAACATCCACTAAGAGACACACAAACAAAGGTTGATGACAGGTGCATTAAAGATTGTAACCTCTACCTAGAAACTCCCGTTTCCCATCAACAATATAATGGGTAAAATAAGCTTTGCTGCCTTTACTCAAGAAATTCTGCCCAGGAGTATCAATCTCATGAACATAATGATGAATAACGGAAGCCAGACACAAAAATGTTGCTGTGATGTTGAATTTATAAAGAGTATAAATACAAATGAAACTTGATAAGAATCTCTCTGTTCTCTAGACTGGCTATACAATTTAGCTTGTCTACAAGCATCCCACAAGAGATTCCATTGCTTTCACCCCTACCATCATTAGGTTATATTAGAGGGTTATGTTTTTTCTTTTACTCTTACTAACATTTTATTGCATTAACTTCCACATTAACCATATAATCTATGTGGAATCGATATATGTGTATGTTGTGAGATGGAGTCAAGTTTTAAGTTATTTCACAATGAAGTATCTGATTAACCCATTACCCTTACAGGAAAAACTACCTTTCCTCACTTTATAAAGACATCCTTGCCATAAATGAAACATCCAGATTCGTGAGGGCTTGTTTCTGGATTCTCAGTTCTGAGTCATTTATCTATTTATCCAATTCCATACCGCACTTGGGTTATTGTCCTCATCACCCCCATTTTACAAAAAAGGAAACCGAGGCACAGAGAGGTTAAGTAGCTCGCCCTTAGTAATTTACTAAGCAATGTCAGAGCGGGAAATGGAACCCAGGAAGTTTGGCTTTACGGTCCATGCACTCAGTAAACTTGAGTCTCACGCTGACGCAAAACGTGAACAAATGTTTTGCGCCACTACATCAAAGTAGGCCTTGCCTGAAGTCTTGAAAACAGGAACATTGGGGCACTCTGTGTAGGTTCTATCTGGTAACCAAGAGGAGGCGGCCAGGTCCTGGGGTTCCGGTACAGCCACAAACGGAGCCGCTGCTCTACCAGTCCCACCACTAGGTGGCGCAGCGTTTTTGTTTGTTTGTTTGTTTGTTTTTGGTTAATATTTTTATTGTTGGGGATTCATTGAGGGTACAAGAAACCAGGTTAGACTGATTGCATTTGTTAGGTAAAGTCCCTTTTATAATTGTGTCTTGCCCCCAAAAGATGTGACACAGAGTCCCCCACCCCTCATTCCCTCCTTCCCTCTCTCTGCTCTTCCCTTTTCCTACCTCTCCCTCCTTCCCTCTCTCCACGCTTCCTTTCTCGCACAGCCCTCCCTCCTTCTCTCTCTGCTCTCCCCTTCCCCCACCCCATCATGTCATTAATTATCATTAATCATCCTCATATCAAAATTGAGTACATAGGATTAATGCTTCTCCATTCTTGCGATGCTTTACTACGAATAATGTGTTACACTTATATCCAGGTTAATACGAAGGATGTAAAGTCTCCATTTTTTTTAATGGCTGAATTATATTCCATGGTATACATATACCACAGCTTGTTAATCCAATTCTGGGTTGGGGAGCATTTAGGCTGTTTCCACATTTTAGCAATTGCAAATTGAGCTGCAATAAACAGTCTAGTGCAAGTGTCCTTATGATAAAAGAATTTTTTCCTTCTGGGTAGATGCCCAGTAATGGGATTGCAGGATCAAATGGGAGGTGTAGCTTAAGTTCATTGAGGGTTCTCCATACTTCCTTCCAAAAAGGTTGTATTAGTTTTCAGTCCCACCAGCACTGTAGAAGTGTTCCTTTCTCTCCACATCTGTGCCAGCATCTGCAGT